GGCCCCGGGGGGGGAGCAAGTGGCGGCAAGCGGCCGTTTGGGATCTGCACTCCCCATCCAACCCATGGGAGCGTGGACCCCAAACAGCCACTTGCCGCCGCTTGCTCCCCCGTCAGGGCCCAGCTGAGTGGTGCAGTGCTGGGCTGAGCTGCCATGGAGTGAGGAGAAGGGGGGGCAGGACACTGATGTACACAGCCAGGGTGCGTGGCCGTATACATCAGCATTACACATGCACAGACAATGGTTAGATGTGCTACAGTAACAGGAGTTGCTGTTTGGAAGGGCATTATCTAAATGAGATTAAGAAGGAAAAGTGGGAAATAAAAATGCTTTTGTTAAAAATGCACTGTAAGGAGATCTGAGGGCAAATAATAGAAATTAAGAATCATACCACAAATCCAGGTTTGCAAAAACAGGTGTAACCCAAGCTGGGTTCCTTCTGGATGCAGATGCCATGGACACAGGGATTAGAACTGCATTCATCAATATCCTCCTCACAATTCAAGCCTGCCCATCCTATCAGGAAAGAAATAGTGCTTACTCCAAGAAAAAAAATCCAGAAATCCATACATTGACCTTAGATCAAGTAGCCACACAAAAGTAAACAAAATGAGCCCTGACATATATCTATGTATATAGAGATTTGAATATGTGAACTGACTACTTGAAGTTACTATAGGGAATTAAGTGAAAAGTACTTATTTGGCAACAGGCAATAATACAAAAAAGACCAACGTATATAGATCTCACTAGTTCTGATACTTTATTAAGAACCTAATACTCCTAGAATGGTATGGGAATAATTAAAAATACAGCCAGAAGGATATGACCTGGTCATATTCCAGCCTCAGTAAACATTCTGTTGGAAGTTAACTAAACCTGAACCTCAAGGAAAAGCTATGTTTACATTGTTGGCTGGCCCCTGTGTCAGTTCAGGAATTGAATATTTCCTGTAAACTCTTGTCTTATACAGGCAGTCCCCGGGTTACGTACAAGATAGGAACTGTAGGTTTGTTCTTAAGTTGAATCTGTATGTAAGTCGGAACTGGCGTCCAGATTCAGCCGCTGCTGAAACTTACCGCCAGTTCTGACTTACATACAGATTCAACTTAAGAACAAACCTACAGTTCCTATCTTGTACGTAACCCGGGGACTGCCTGTATAAGACAAGAGTTTACAGGAAATATTCAATTCCTGAACTGACACAGGGGCCAGCCAACAATGTAAACATAGCTTTTCCTTGAGGTTCAGGTTTAGTTAACTTCCAACAGAATGTTTACTGAGGCTGGAATATGACCAGGTCATATCCTTCTGGCTGTATTTTTAATTATTCCCATACCATTCTAGGAGTATTAGGTTCTTAATAAAGTATCAGAACTAGTGAGATCTATATACGTTGGTCTTTTTTGTATTATTGCCTGTTGCCAAATAAGTACTTTTCACTTAATTCCCTATAGTAACTTCAAGTAGTCAGTTCACATATTCAAATCTCTATATACATAGATATATGTCAGGGCTCATTTTGTTTACTTTTGTGTGGCTACTTGATCTAAGGTCAATGTATGGATTTCTGGATTTTTTTTCTTGGAGTAAGCACTATTTCTTTCCTGATAGGATGGGCAGGCTTGAATTGTGAGGAGGATATTGATGAATGCAGTTCTAATCCCTGTGTCCATGGCATCTGCATCCAGAAGGAACCCAGCTTGGGTTACACCTGTTTTTGCAAACCTGGATTTGTGGTATGATTCTTAATTTCTATTATTTGCCCTCAGATCTCCTTACAGTGCATTTTTAACAAAAGCATTTTTATTTCCCACTTTTCCTTCTTAATCTCATTTAGATAATGCCCTTCCAAACAGCAACTCCTGTTACTGTAGCACATCTAACCATTGTCTGTGCATGTGTAATGCTGATGTATACGGCCACGCACCCTGGCTGTGTACATCAGTGTCCTGCCCCCCCTTCTCCTCACTCCATGGCAGCTCAGCCCAGCACTGCACCACTCAGCTGGGCCCTGACGGGGGAGCAAGCGGCGGCAAGTGGCTGTTTGGGGTCCACGCTCCCATGTATACGGCCACGCACCCTGGCTGTGTACATCAGTGTCCTGCCCCCCCTTCTCCTCACTCCATGGCAGCTCAGCCCAGCACTGCACCACTCAGCTGGGCCCTGACGGGGGAGCAAGCGGCGGCAAGTGGCTGTTTGGGGTCCACGCTCCCATGGGTTGGATGGGGAGTGCAGATCCCAAACGGCCGCTTGCCGCCACTTGCTCCCCCCCCGGGGCC